TGGCTGGGCCTGATGAGGTGGCACCGGGCCTGGTGACTTGAACCTGCTTGGGAATGGGTCTGTAACTTTCCCTGCTTGGAAAAGTTAAGTCCTAAGGCCTGGAGCTTTGAGGCTGGGTGTGGGATGGCATGCTTAGAGGGCCAGAGGCAAGGCTAAGATACTGGGGTGTGTCAGAAGCCAGGAGAACAAGGGACATGTCTTGGAGCCAGGGAGCTCAGGAAGACAGATGGAGTATGGGAAGAGGGGGATCATTCATTCGTTTATTTATAACCATTTATTCAACAAGTACATTCATGTATTTATAACCATTGATTCAACATGTTGAGTGCCTACGATGTGCCAGGCATTGACTGTTCCAGCTCTGGGAATACTGTGATGACTTGGACAGGAGGGGTCAGGTGCGGGGGAGCTCCTTGAGTGGTCTGTGAAGAGTGGAAGGGGGAAGAGCCCTCTCTGGAGGGTGTGACTTCATGGAGCAGGTGGGGCAGGGTGATGCGGAGGTTGCTCAGTGCAGGACAAGACAAGGTCTTGGTGGTGGTCTAAAAGTACAGGCCCTAAGCAGTGAGAATGTGGATTGACTTGAGTCCTGGAATAATACTGGGGGTGTTCAATACTGGCTTTTTTTTTTTTTAGACGGAGTCTTGCTCTCTCGCCCAGGCTGGAGTGCAGTGGTGTGATCTTGGCTCACTGTAACCTCCGCCTCCTGGGTTCAAGGGATTCTCCTGCCTCAGTCTCCCAAGTAACTGGGATTACAGGCACACACCACCTGCCTGGCTAATTTTTTGTATTTTTAGTAGAGACATGGTTTTGCCGTGTTAGCCAGGCTGGTCTTGAGCTCCTGACCTCAAGTTACTTGTCTGCCTCAGCCTCCCAAAGTGCTGGGATTGCAGGCATAAGCCATCACACCCAGACAGCATTGTCTTTTGAGACCCACCCAGAAGTCCCTGAGTAAAAGTGCATCGAGTGTGCACAAGTGAATTTAAGTGTGGTTGCACCTGTGTGAGGATCACAGCATCCTGTGGGTGTTGACGGGAGCAGGGTGCCTGTGTGCACCAGGCCTCTCCTTGGATGGGTTCACACAGTGAAGCCTTGTCCTTCAAGGCTTCCCATCAAGGAGAGAGCCTCGGATGAGTGCTGGCTTGTCTTGAAGCTTGACATTTGCTAGTCCTCTTCTTCAAAATGAACAGGGCTTAGTCTCTGAGGCTTCTGCAGGCAATGGTGACTAACTACCATCTGATGACTTTTTTTTTTTTTTTTGAGACGGAGTTTCGCACTTGTCACCCAGGCTGGAGTGCAGTGGCACGATCTTGGCTCACTGCAACCTCTGCCTCCTGAGTTCAAGTGATTCTTCTGCCTCAGCCTCCCGAGTAGCTGGGACTACAGGCATGCACTACCATGTCCAGTTCATTTTTTGTATTTTTAGTAGAGGTGGGGTTTCTCCATTTTGGCCAAGCTTGTCTCGAACCCCTGACCTCAGGTGATCCACCTGCCTCGGCCTCCCAAAGTGCTGGGATTACAGGTATGAGCCATCGCGCCCAGCCTGATGACATAGATGCTCCCTGATTTACACTGGCATTAGATAAACCTGATAAACCCATTGTAAATTAAAAATATCATAAGTTGGTCAGGCGCAGTGGCTGAGGGCCGTAATCCCAGCTCCTTGGGAGGCCAAGGTAGGCAGATTGCTTGAGCCCAGGAGTTAAAGACCAGCCTGGGCAATGTGTCTCTACAAAAAATACAAAAATTGGCCGGGCGCGGTGGCTCAAGCCTGTAATCCCAGCACTTTGGGAGGCCGAGACGGGTGGATCACGAGGTCAGGAGATCGAGACCATCCTGGCTAACACGGTGAATCCCTGTCTCTACAAAAAATACAAAAATTGGCCGGGCGCGGTGGCTCAAGCCTGTAATCCCAGCACTTTGGGAGGCCGAGACGGGTGGATCACGAGGTCAGGAGATCGAGACCATCCTGACTAACACGGTGAAACCCCGTCTCTACTAAAAAGTACAAAAAACTAGCCAGGCAATGTGGCGGACGCCTGTAGTCCCAGCTACTTGGGAGGCTGAGGCAGGAGAATGGCGTGAACCTGGGAGGCGGAGCTTGCAGTGAGCTGAGATCCGGCCACTGCACTCCAGCCTGGGTGACAGAGTGAGACTCCGTCTCAAAAAAAAAAAAAATACAAAAAAAAAAAATTAGCCGACCATAGTGACAGATACTTGTAGTCCCAGCTACTCGGGAGGCTAAGGCAGGATAATCAAGCTGGGGGCGTAGAGGCTTCAGTGAGCATTGATCATGCCACTGCACTTCAACTTGGATAACAATGAGACCGTGTCTCAAAAAAAAAAAAAAAAAAAAAGAAGGAAATATTGTAAGTTGCAAATCCATTTAGGCCGGGCGCGGTGGCTCTTGCCTGTAATCCCAATAATTTGGGAGGCCAAGGCAGGTGGATTGCTTGAGGTCAGGAGTTCGAGACCAGCCTAGCCAACATGGTCGAACCCTGTCTCTACTAAAAGTACAAAAAGTTAGCTGGACATGGTGACACACACTTGTATTCCTAGCTACTCAGGAGGCTGAGGCAGGAGAATCGCATGAACCCGGGAGGCGGAGGTTGCAGTGAGCCAAGATCATGCCACTGCACTCCAGCCTGGGCGACAGAGGGAGACTCCGTCTCAATAAATAAATAAATAAATAAATAAATAAATAAAAATAAAAAGAATAGTACACATGTAATTGTATGTACCTGTGTATGACAAAAAGAAAAAAAAAAGGTGACATAGGGGAATGGGGGAATTGAAGTAGAGAACAGGTAAAGAGGGAGCTGGTGTGAACATGCGTGTGCAGGAGGAGACAAATTTGTAATGAGGAAATGGGTGGGTGAGTGATTGGCACAGGTGAGGCTTCTGAACCACCTGAGCTAGTGCAGAAGGAAGGTGTCAGTGGCAGGCAGGTAGGCTAGGGCGTGCCTATTAGAGGAGTGACCCTCGACCTGTAGGGCTTGACCTGTTTCTCTTTCCTGTGCAGCCATTGACCTCATCAACAACCTGCTGCAGGTGAAGATGCGCAAACGCTACAGCGTGGACAAATCTCTCAGCCACCCCTGGTTACAGGTGATGCAGTGGGCAGGGCTGGCCCATTGGCTGGGTTGGAGGAATGGGTGGAACTAGATCGCTTATTGGCTAGGCAGGTAGTGACGGATGTAGGTTTCCTTGGGTCTGGAATGTGAGTAGTCCTCCCATTGGCTGGAAGAGGGGGTGAAGCTAAATGTCTACTGGCTGGGTGGGTTGCAGAGGGTGTGGCTTCACCTTCATTGGTACCCAGCTCTCAGTGGCAAAGCAGATGGCCTCCAGGCACTGCTCCAATGCAGACCCCAAGCTAACCCCAGTTCTGTCGGGCCCAGGAGTACCAGACGTGGCTGGACCTCCGAGAGCTGGAGGGGAAGATGGGAGAGCGATACATCACGCATGAGAGTGACGACGCGCGCTGGGAGCAGTTTGTGGCAGAGCATCCGCTGCCTGGGTCTGGGCTGCCCGCGGACAGGGATCTTGGTGGGGCCCATCCACCACAGGACCACGACATGCAGGGGCTGGCGGAGCGCATCAGTGTTCTCTGAGGTCCTGTGCCCTCGTCCAGCTGCTGCCCTCCACAGCGGTGCTTCACAGGATCCCAGCAATGAACTGTTCTAGGGCAAGTGGCTTCCTGCCCAAACTGGATGGGACACGTGGGGAGTGGGGTGGGGGGAGTTATTTCCGAGGCTCCTCCTTGCTTCCCCAGCAATTAAAACGGACTCATCTCTGGCCCCATGGCCTTGGTCTCAGCACACAGCACTCTTAATTCATAGTTTGTTGTACCAAGATGGAGTTCATCTAGAAAGAGGACTGCCTGAAAAGAGGAAGGATGGAGGGGGTGGGGAGAGAGGACTGATGGGAGAGGAGTCTTGGAAGGAGGACGACCTGGGGTAGAAAATATAGAGGAGGATTGCCAGGAGAGAAGAAGAGAAGGGAGAGGGAGGAGTAATGGAGAAGGAGTTGGAAACTGGGGAGAGATGAAAGGAATGTGACTGGAGGGTAGAGAACTTGGAGAAAAGAAAGTAATCTCATGGTTTGTGATGACTGATTTTTTATTTGGTGGTGTTACTACTAATCACAACTATTAACAATTCAGGCTGGGCGCGGTGGCTCACGCCTGTAATTCCAGCTCTTTAGGAGGCTGAGGCAGGCAGATCCCTTAGACCTCAGGAGTTCGAGACCAGCCTGACCAACTTGGCGAAACTCCCTTTCTACAAAGAGTTCAAAAATTAGCTAGGTGTGGTAGCTTGCACCTGTGGTCCCAGCTACTTGGGAGGTTGAGGCTGGAGGATCGCTTGACCCCAGGAAGCAGAGATTGCAGTGAGCCAAGGATCACGCCACTGCACTCTAGCCTGGGCAAGAGAGAGACCCTGTCTCAAAAATAAAATAAATAAAATGCAGTTAGCCCAAGTCTGATCCATACTAGAAAACTGATATGCAACATTTAGTATTTTATTTTATATTGATGTGATGACTTCTCTGTATACGAAATATATAGAGAAGTATATATTAATTCATTTGTCTCACTGAGCTGGGTGATGCTGGGGACACAGTGGTGACTGAGACAGCCAAGGACTGCCCTTCATGGGGTTCGCCATCCAGTGGAGAGACTTACCTGCCTCTGGACAGTGATGACCCAGAATGGGAAGGGCTGGACTGGGGGAGTTTGGGAGGCTTGGGCAGCCTAGAATGAGCTCAGGGGTCAGAGAGGGTGGGTAATCAGAGAGGACCTCTTAAGCTTCATCTTAGCATTGAAAGACTGAAGGCGGAGGGAACGAACTGGAGGAAACACGTATCCACCTCTCTCTACCTTTGACTCCAGCCCTCCAGCTCCCCAGTTCTCCAATAACACCCTAACAACATGGTCCTCCACCTTCCACAGCTGAAGGCAAACGATCCGAACATGCACCTGAACAAGTTTTCTTCAGACTTTCAGCACGCTCTGACTTACGTGCTGCAAAGACCTACCTGAAAGCTGGGCATGGTGGCAGGTGACTGTATTCCCAGCTGTTTAAGAGGCTGAGGTGGGAGGATTGCTGGAGTCTAGGAGTTCAAGTCCAGTTTGGGCAACATCCCTAAAAAAAAAAAA